AAACATTAATGGCAACATAATTCAAGTGTGTATAAGAAAGAGAGATAAATTTTAAGCCTTTTTCTTTGGAATAAATGTATTTGGAAACTAAAAAAAAAAAAGAAAAAGAAAAAATGTTGATCATTAATCATTCGAGAAATGCAAAACAACCTTGAGATTCCATCTCACTCCAGAAAGAATGTTTTTATCATCAAGAAATCAACAAGTGCTGGAGAGGCTGTGGGGACAGCAGAATTCTTCTCCACTGTTGGTGGGAGTGTAGCCTGGTGGAAATTAGTGTGGAGATTCCTCAGAAAGCTAGGATTGGAGGTCCCATTCAACCCAGCTGTTTCCTTCCTCCTGAGTAATTTTTCAGAAGTGAAAATATGTTGTAGCAGTATACATACACCCATGTTTATAGCAGTGTAATTTGTTCTAGCTTAATCTTGGAAAGATATATATATATATTAGCTTGAGTAATTGTACTGCTGATTTATTGCTGGTCTATTGAAAGGAGCAGTTAATACTTAAGTTTTCCTTTTTAATTTCTTACAATTTTTAAAACCAGTTTTGCATATACTTATTTCTGGTAATCTAAACAAGTAATTTGAAGACAACATTATGTAATACAGCAACCATTGTTGAATTCCCTTAGTTTGCATAGTGCAATTATGTATCGTTTCTAATTATTTTTACTATCTTTTATTCTCTTTAAAAATTTTTTTCAGAGGCATATATTATTAACTCTGTTTACATTGTGCTCCAGTTACATTGTCACCAGAAAACATACTCTTTACTCTTTGAATCCTTACAAGTTTGTGTTTTGTTGCCAAGGAAACAGCGTGTCTTGATAAATAATTTGTGTGCCCTTAGGTAGGGGGTGTGTTTGCTATTTGGGAGCAAAACATATGATAGAAGTCAACAAAATTTGGGTGGTTAGTACTCAAAATTTCTGTCTTCACTAATTTTCCACTTGTTCTATTAATTATTAAGGGAGGTATTAAAATCTTTACCTATGAGAAAACATTTCTAAAATTCATTTTTTCCTTTTTATGCAGGGATATTTTCTTCTTTTTGAGTCTATGTTAGATTCTGTCCTTTATGCAAAAAACAAATACTTGGCAAAAGGAGGATCGGGTGAGTATAAAATTTTACTGTTGATTTTAGTCTGGAAGAACCAAATGAACCTTTGAATTTTAAATGAAGTATGTATGGCTGAGAGACTACCCAGTAGAGATGAAAGATGTTTCCATTAGAAGAAATCTTAGGACATCTGTTTATTACATTGTTGAAAGCAGAACATTACACGAGATTTGCAGAGCTCCAAATTAATGGTGTTTTCAAGAGTACTTATTTTTAGAAGGTTTTTTTAAAACTAGGTTTTTGGAAAGTTTTTAATAGTGAAATCAAAACTTAACAAATGCCTTTTCATTTTTTATCCTCATGATATCTGCTTGGCTTTTTTCCAGTATCATATTTCATGCTACTTTGGAGATTATTCACTTTAATGGCAGATGTTCATGATTTCAGTAAACATATAAAGCTGGCTTCTCGGTGATCTAATGGTAACATTGAAACAATGACTGCTTGCTTCCCAGTAAGGTTTTAGAGGACCATGTACTTAAATAAATCCCAGGAAATATGGAAGGTTTTTGTCATGCCTGAACAACATTTTATCATAGTAGGTCTGTAGCCTCCGAGATAGGTGTGTGTCTGCAAGGGTCAGGTTTGGTTCATCTCACTGCAGCAGACTGCACGGCTGCAGGAACGTGAGGGCGCAGCATAGGGCTTGCGGAGCGGAGTCACTGGAGCTGGATGGAATCTGTCTGTCTGTCTCACTTGCCTCCTCACACAGCTCCCTCCTCTCAGTTCCAGGATAAATGGTTCTCGCAGTCTGAGGACAGGTGGTAGGCGCTGCCTTAGCGTAGATGGAAAGGAGGAGGGAGGCCAGGTAGCCGCACACTTAACCGTGTTGTGCCTCCTGCCCTTCACTGTTCGATGGAGTCCCTGTGGCAGTTTTGGTGCAGTTAGAATTCAATAAGGCCCAGACAGAGAATTCTTTTTTTTCAAGTGAAAAATCTTTATTGCGAAGTTTCCTGTGGTGACACTCCCTCCTGAGCTGGATCCCAGCTAAGGAGGCTGAGGCAGGAGGTCACAGGTGAGCCCCAGCCTGGGCAACTTAGTGAGACCTGTCTAGAAACTTTTCTCAAGGGCTGAAAACATAGCTCAGAGCAATCGCTCTGGGTTCATTCCCAGACAGAATTCTGCAGAACAAGAGGTTTTTTTTTTTTTTTTGTGGTACCAGGGATTGAACTCAGGACCTTGCATTTGCCAAGCAAGTGCTTATTCTACTGAACTGTCTCCCCAGCCTTAGAGTTGTTTTTATAATACCATTTAAATTTGTTGCTTTTCTTTTTCAAAATGTGCCCATTTCATTGCTATATTTTTCTAGAACCATTTCAAGATACATTTCTGATCTCTGACATGATCCTGCTTACAAGTTTCAGATGTATTTTACCCTGCTGCAATTGGCTGTATGTTTCTGTAGTTATGCAGGTTTGGCTTTTAAAATAAGAACATTATCATTTGTTGATTACCAGCTAGCTGTCCAGTAATATCCTCTACCTTTGTTCATTATTAGATATAATCCTCAAACACAGCCCTTTTGAATCTTAATAGATTCATAAATGACACATTAAGTGGTCAAACCTTAATTTTTTTTTTTTAACTCTGAACTACCTAACACCAGTGTTCATGTTCTTTTTACTTAATTTTGTTATTTCCCTACTAAAACATATTTTTAAAAATCTGACTTGTGTTATGAAGTTCTAAAAAAAGATTCACATAACTGTTTCTCTACCTCCCTGAATGGTACTCATTGATCTTACTGATAAGCCGCTAGTAACTTACTACATTTAAATTGAATTCTCTGTGAAATTCATTAAGAACCTAGAGCAACATAAACCATGGCAGGACTATTTTCCATTGTCGAAGAAAGAAAGGAGGTCTCTAAGGCTCCTTCACTCCATATTTCTGTACAGTTGATGTTAGTGTGAAGGTAATCTGGAGGTATACTGCGAAGTCAGCATTTCCCTTCTCTGAGTGGTGCTGTTGAATGTTGTTTGTTAATAGAATGGCAGAAAACATCAGTGATGAAGAGCTGAAGATAGTTTAACCTATCTGTGTATGTGAATATGCCTGATTTAGACACTTACGCTTCTTATGTTTTTCTGAAATAAAGATTTACTAAGCAATTACAGATGTAGAACTTTTAGAAAACAATAGCATTATGAGAAAAGGACTATAGAAATATTATGGGTCCATAATTTTTTTTGTACTGGAGTCAAGTCCAGGGCCTTTGCTCTGGGCTGCCTTCCCAGTGTTGTTTATTGAGCCATAGCATCTCATTAAGTTGATGAGACTGGACTCAAACTTGCTGTCCTCTTGTCATGATGTCTCTGAGCTCTGGGGCTGCAGTCGTGAGCCAGTGTGCCCATGTCCACAATTCATTTCAAGGTGGAAGGCCCTGGGTTCAATCTCCAATGTCACAAAAAAAGAAAACAATGTAATGGATGAGGCTTGTGGTGCTAGCTCCTCCATGTATTTTAGCAGTGGGTTGAACAAAATCAGAAAGGATTAGTTTATGTACATATACCCAGTAATAAAAAATGAAGGGACAATTTCCCTTTCATTCAGGTTAAATGAATTATGCTTTAATTCCTAACTTCTAAAAAACATTTTAAAGCTCTTGCTACAGCTATCTTTCTAAAAGATAGTAAGTGTAAGTTAAAAAGGTGAAGAGGGAGGGAAAAACAAATGTATTTATCTTTCCTGGTGGCAGGAGATAGTAAATACTGCTAAAAACAGAGACCCAAAGACCTTCTAGAGAGTAGACAAAAACAAAGACTTCCTTTCTCTATGTAAGAATTAATGTGGCTGTGGTAGAAGGCTTGCCTTGCGTTCCATGTGGATCTCCCTCATTTTGTTCCCACTTGAGTGTTCTTTTTCCTCTTAATAGGTGAGTTTAACCCATTTATATTTTCTCCTATGTTAAGTATATCTTGTTCATGCTTACTAATTCTTTTTTCAGAAGTGGTTTATCACATGACCTTCACTTTTTCCTTGTGTGTTTTTATTTCATTTCTTACTAGGGCTAGGGAAGCAAGCCCAGGGCCTTATGCATGCTAGGCAAGCACTCTACTACTGAGTTACATCCTCCAGCCCTTTTCCCTGTATTATTTTTATGGATTAACAGACAGATGGACAGATATGAAGCTCTGTATTTTCATTTTGATAGCTTACTTTGTAGTTACAACTTTACCTAATACCTTAAGATCTTTATTCTCAACAGTTTTCTATCTCCTACCATGAGTAATGATAAAGGTGGCACAGACAAAAAAAGAAAAGCAGTTGTATATCACAAAAGAATATCCAGTTGTATTCACTTATAGAACTATATTTTTTGATTGTTCGTTTGTTTTGTGTATGTAAGGTGGGGGAGTGTTGGTAGTGGGAATCGAACTCAGGACTTCGTGTTTACCAGGCTGGTGCTGTGCCACTGAGCCAATTCTCAGACCCTAGAACCATGTTTGTTTGTTTTTTAAATTAACAGTTAAATTTCAGTGGATATTCAGACACATCTAAACAAATGATAACAGTGACCCTATAAAGAAGAATTGGAGTGAACATATTTTGTAATAGGGCTTAGAGCTGAAGATTAAAAATCATGCTCCTATCTCATAGTTAACTGGAACATTTTTTTGAAAAATGCAGGCTATTTAATTAAAACTAATCAAAACTTATATCCAAGCAGTCACTAGTGAATGATCTTCAAGATTTAAATACATGAAAAATTAGAACGATGTTTTGGGGAAAAAATCAGTGTCATAAAGATGTAACTTCTTCCAAACATAATTTAAAATGTAACAGAATCCAAAAATGCCAGGTCGATCGATGGCTGTCATGATGCTACCCTATTGAGGGTGGATTGCTGCACGAGAACTGCTGCATGGTCTTCTCTAGTTTCAAAATATAGTTAGAGTACTTTGTAGGGTGAAATTTTTAAAGCTATAATCCCACTGGCAGGCATTTCTAAACAGGCTGTTTCTAAAATTTATATGGCCCGGGCACGGCGGCATGCTGCTGTGACCCAGCCCTGGAGAGGCTGAGGCCAGAGGCCGTTTGCAAGTTCAAAGCCAGCGTTGGGTACACAGTGAGCTCCAAACTGGCCTGAACTGCATAGCAAGACCCTTTCTCAAAAAAGGAAATAAAATTAAATTCAGTTTATATGGAAAAGTACAAAACAAAAAAAACCCTTTGAAATAGAAACAGTATTTGAGGTGGTGGGATGCAGTAAGAGTAGTGTTACCAAATATTAAACATAATAAAGCCTTAATTATAACAGTATATTAGTAATTTTGATTGAAGAGATGAGAGATGAAGAAAATGGAAACTCTTATATAGGCCTAACGACAACGTAGCACCGCATACAGTTGAGCAGGTTTTAAGCAAACCGTGTTCCGCAGAGTCTCGGTGCTCTGCAGGCTGAGGCAAGACTCCATGAGCTCAGGAGTTCAGAGTAGGCTGAGCAACACAGCCAGACCCTGCCTCAAAAGAAAAAAGAAATTCAATTTACAAAATACATTGTGCACTGTAAATTTCAGTAAGTCACATTAAATGCAGATTGATTTCTGTAGCTTTCTTCTAAGTCCTGATTATTCTTTTAATAAAGGCTTTGTCAGTTTCATCATGGTGGAAACATTTAAAGAAAAAGAATCTGTCAGTTTCTATTTGATAAAAGAATGGAGTTAAATGAATAGGTGAAGTTTGGAATCATCAGCCTGGTAACAATATTGAGACTTCCATTCCATGAAGACTGTGCTTTTTTCCATTTAATTTCTCCTGACACTGCTTTACAGTTTTTATCATAAGGATCTTGTACATTTTTCAAATTTATTCTTAAATGCTTAAAAAAATTTTTTGTCATTCTTGCAAGTGTATTTTTTAGGTTTTATGCCTGGCTTGACTGTGTTACAAACACATAAATGAGGGCCGACCAGATAGCTCAGCCAACTAAAGGGCCCACTTAGGCAGAGCACAGCGGCCAGGATTCCATCCCCAGTGTGTGGTGCTGGCCC